ACCGCTTCACACAATTCAAATATCCCGTAAATGTATTGAGCCGCCTCGAACATTCCACAGATAATATCCAAGCCTTCCGAAGTGGGCATTTGCAGTGAATGCCCAAATACAAAAATCACGAATCATATCGGAGAACGACTCTGCGCACCAACCACAGATCATCATTTGATCATAATATGTCTGGCTCCTACAAAAAAATGCAGCTTATTTCTTGCACAATAAAATAATGCAATAAATAACAAAATCATGGACAAAAATGTAAACCTGGAATTTGATAGAGCATAAGGCTGCGTTCATACTTTGCGGCAGCGTCCACCAGCGTCTATCAGCGTCCACTAGCGACCACTACGTTCCGAGCGTCCGGCAGCGTCAGCGACTAGGAAAGTATAGATATCGATCTAGCGTCTACCAGCGTGCACCAGCGTTCCCAGCAAGGGGAGTGTATGGGAAAGTAGGAGGGTAACAAACAGCTAAATTAGGCGTCGTGAAATTGCGGCGGGTGCAAGTGCACCGCACAACTGCTAAAGCACATAATTACGCAAATTAGTGTATGTAGTGTAGTTGTACAGTGCAGCTGCACACGCCGCAATTTCGCGACGCCTAATCCAGCTGTTTACTACCCTCCTATTTCCCATACTCTCTACTCTCCGTCGCTGGTGAACGCTGGTTGGACGCTGGTAGACGCTGGCAGACGCTAGATCGATATCTACACTTTCCTGGTCGCTGACGCTGCCGGACGCTCGGAACGCTAGTGGTCGCTGGTGGACGCTGCCGCAAAGTATGAACGCAGCCTAACAAAACTGGAGGCCAGAAAAGGAAGTCAGAACTCACCGAAACCTTGAAAGAATTTCTACAATCTTTTGTGAGTTGATGGACTGTTTGCATACTGGCACTTCATTACCCTCGGTAAACTGTACGTAGATCTTCTTCTGCCAAATTTTGCATATTTCTTTGGCAATCTGTAAGAATATACCTCGAAAGCGAACTGAAACATGGAGGAACCCTCTTCCGAGTAGTCAGTCAAGAAAGAGAACCTTCTTCATTTCAGCCTTATGATTTTCTCTGACATCATCCATTCCATACAGAACAAGGGCCCTCTGATTCGCCTCGCTTCGATGCTCTTCAGTTTGACGAAGTGGCATCTGCAGAAAAAAGTTACAGTGAAAAAGTTGTAATGTTCCGAAAAGCCTTCACATCCTGAAGTGTTTTATTAGGCTAACGACCTGGCACCTTCTCCATTGCTGGGCTTCAAATGAATAAAAAAAGGAATAATCTCTATGTCAACCCTCCCCTAGACCTCGGCATGATGGCGAGTTTGATTCACTACTGCCAATCAAGGTGTTAGGCTTAGCGGAGTAGTTGTAATACCACGCCTTTCCTCACCTAGCTAGCCATAAGGCAGCGTTCAGACTTCGCGACGGCAGCGACTGTCGTCGCGAAGTCCAAACGCTGCTAAAGCTAGCATTCTTCCTGCTTCACCGATATACTTTGAAAGTTTCCATCTGACAGCCTCGTCTGGCAGAAAAGGATAAAAACGGTGACTCGGACTAAGACTTTTGAGGGCCAGAAATCAAACGGGAAAGAACATGAATCGGCCCTACTTTGACATGCAGAAAGCAAAGTTGGTACCTGTATGAGAATTCTGTCGTTCATGGACATTGGATCATTCAAATAAATATGTTCGTCTTTTTCTTCTTGTCTAAAGGAGATCAAACTGGTCGGCTTCGGAGGCTCATCTGGTGTCAGGTCCTCGAACTAAACAATTTAACAATCAAAAAGTTTTTTAAAATGAAAAATCATCAAATAAATCGAAAAATCGAACAAAATAGGAAATGTCGAGGGTGTTGAAAGCAGAAAGGCAGCTCAGTTCACGTTCACACGTGCCCTTAGACGTAGGTCGAGCAGAACCAGAATTCTACCTCTATGCTCATCAGTAAGGAAAGGGAAAAACATCGAATTTGAAGAATTTTACAAGAAACAATAAAAATTACAAAAATCACAAAAAATTGCGAAGGAGGAAATTGCTCAACAACGTGGTTATTGAAGCAAATTCATATGGTATATGATGAGCAGGTGTCATGCTCTCAGTAAACGTTCTAGTGCTCTCTAAAACTGCACCTGGGGAGCGAGAAGTCACTGTCTCAAGGCGCAGAAGAGCAGGCTCATTCACGCAACAACGTGCTCCTCATCTTCTCGAGGTAACGTGACATCTTGAACTTTTCTACGTGGTCCCTTTGCAAAATCCTGTACCCCAGACAGATAGAGGACGTGGCTGCCAAAGCATCGAAACGTCCATAAACATGTAGCGAGCCAGGAAACGGGCTTTTTCAGGGGAAGGGGATCCGGGGTGGGTGAACCATTTAAAGCCGTGAAAAGGTGGAGTGTGCGAAGACACATCAATCATAATATGCCATGCGGATGAGACAAGTGTGCAGAGAAAAACAGAAAATCGACGCCTCAACAACATACGCAGCGCAAACAGGCCTATTTGGCGAGTAGCAGCGAAGTGCTGATGGGAGTACAGGCGCCTAATGGGAAGTTCAGAGGATAAAGGGCTTCTTCGGCTTAGATTATTCGGAAAGTTCTTGTATGAGAGATAATGCCGCTCAGGAGAAACACAGCGTCTCGCCGAGGGTAACCTTGCTACCGTACACACACACGCCGGCACAAAATGTACAAGGATCTCCGACAACACAGACAGAATTCCATGCCAAAGCGTTGAATTACAGTATCTGGACGAGACTACCTTACCTGAGCCGAAATTAGTGATGACGAGATAACATCAGTAGTCTTGTTCTCATTTTTATACTTGTCCATAACCGGTCGCTGATAGTCAAGCTCACCGGATTTGATCAGCTCCTTGACAAAACTGCAACAATGCGCTTTCACGCAGCACCCTTAACACACCAAAAAGCACTTCAAGTAACTCACCAGTCGTGCACAAACAACTTGAAGCGGGAAAGTTCAATAAATAAAGTGACCAATGATGCGAATTCTTGATGGTAATATTTTGATCCAACTGTAGGTGCTTCCGTATAGAAATAATTAAGGATAATGTCTTGCGTGTGGAATGGACCGAACATATAGGACTGCTGATTGAGAACTTGGTTGTAGATGACCTAAAACAGGAAATGTCAGAAAAAAGGAAGACTACAAAATGCAGAGCCTTCACAAGAACTGCGATCGCACTTCAGAATCATGCTGTCACTGAAATATCCCGGCCTTTGCCAAAAACAATTGTGCGTTTCAAGTTAATTCGCGCCAGTGCACAGCGGGGTTGCTACAGAAGTTGAGAAGGGCCAGACGCAGCGCGACGCTCCTCTGCGCTCCGAAACAAAGCATAGCGTACTCTTCTTCCTCAATGAGATTATGCAGAGAAGTTCACATAGACGAGAAGCCCCTCCTCCTATGCTCAAGTACAGTAGCGCTAATTGACAGAATCGTGGTCTCGTGCTCATTTTACAGTGGACTGCTCAAGGCTGGAATGAAATAGGAAAAGCAAGCGCTAATCGTAAATAACACTCAAATTCCCTGAAAAGGAAAAGTGTGGCTACGCACTCCATTTGAACGTGACCACGAGTGCATATGGGACAACTATCATTATGTCTCTCTCCTGCAACGCCTTCCCCACCTCCGTAAAATGGGGAGCATGTGAGCTCATACTTCTAAGTTTATTCATAACGAAGAGTATAAGGTAAACAAACCTTGGTCACAATGACCGCTCTATGACTTCCTTCACGTTCGGCCGTAACAGCCCAGTGCAGCATGAGCTTTATTCTGAAAAAAAAATACTTGAATAAAATTTGGAAGAAGAAACAAAGAACTTGGAAACTAGAAGCAAAGTGCAACCTTATCAGGAACATCTTCAGCCCAATTTTCAGACTGGAAATTGAATATCCTTGTTGTGACCGCTGGCAGTATGTTTGGTTCGAAGACATCCGTTGAATCAAGGATACCGATCACATCAAGGCACCCATTCACCAGTTTTGCTGCAAGGAAGCTCGTAGTAGCGCTATCTATGATAAATAGGACAAAGAAAGTAAGTAGGGCATAATTAGTAAGAATGTAAAATAAATAACTAGATGCCAAATACGTACCAAAAGCGAACTGCTCCTTCTGATTAAATGACCATTTATCCTGCACAGCTTGACTTCGACGCACTATTTCCGTCGTCCGAAGCTTCAGAAGCTCCGCAAATCGTTCAGAGTCTGAAGGAAAAAAATTGCATGAAAAATCACGCGTACTAAAATCCATGAACAAACCTTTCCCTGGAGTGAGAGGTAATTCATGAACTGCACATGGGAGCAAGTCGAGAGGTGACCCACATAACTGGGACAAAATAAATGGAAGTTTATCCGTTGTTGAAACCTGCAGTGCATAAAAGTTTAACTCCAAAAAAACTACATAGAAAGAAATCATACCCTGAATTTGTTCCAGATGACAGCCGCGGGTGCATCAATTACAATATTTTGTAGAACCGCTATCAAAACATGAATAACAGGTCGAAAAGCTGAACACTGCGCGAGTGCTGTGAATGCCTCCGCTCCTTTCGTAACACTGAAAAACGAGAGGTTAAATTTGAAGAAAATGCATCGAAAAACCACAATATTCAACGTTAGAAAAATTCACTGAAAAACTGGCGTTAACGTGGTTGGGGTGGGGGGGGAGCGCGCGCCCTAAACCTCTCGCGGAGACAATAACCTCCTAAAATTATCACAAGAGCGCTGACGTGTGGGCAGAAGCGGACCACAGGCGGTATAGGAACCCGCAGCTTCCGTATTCCGTGCGGTTGCGTTCCCTATTACGCTAGTGGGACCACTTGTACCCTCTCGGCTCAATGGCTACCTCCTAATTCTCCAGTCTCAGTATTAAGGGAGCGCAGCCGACTTGATTGCCGCGTGGCCACTCCTAACTAGGTAATGCCGAAAAAGAAGAGTAAATGTGAGAGAGGGAATGAGTAAAATACAGTAGCAGCAGAGGGTTCATAAGCATAGCATAGGAAACTGTACAATCTACAACTTCACAAATCATTACAGCTGTAACAAAACTCACGTGTTATTCTGCTCATCATATTCCATTTTATACAATCGGAGTTTCATGGCAATCATATGAGCTAGCCGCCGAGCGAGGATCAAATTGTTGTTGATATGTCGCAAAAATTGTGTCAAGAACAATAAATAAACACTGAAACTTTCAAACGACAAATAAGAGAATGTTACAGGCAAAGGTTTCAGATAAACATACCGTAACTGTGGTAGCTTTTCTTCATTTTTCACTCGGCGAACGAAATAATCAGAAAATATATCACATAACTCGTTCAAGAAATCTTGACGCTCAATCACCCCGTCCTAAAACGGCCGGTACTAAGTAAATGCTCCACATAATAAGTACTATAATAAATTTCAAAGGCTATATGAATGTCACCGCGTTCAGACTTCGTGACTGGATCGCGCGATCGGATCGCTTGATTAAATCGCGCGACCACGACCGGGTGCGCTCCACCGCCAATAGTGCACTACTGCGACGGCAGAATTCAAACTGCAGCAGGTTTAACCGCTTCACTTTGAATTGTGATGCTGCGGAGGTGCACCGTTTGGAGGTAAAGCGTCCGCCGTCGTGGCCGGGCGAACCTATCGCGAAGTCTGAACGCAAGCTGATGAGGAATAGTCATCAGCATATCAGACTGAACCCGGATACAACTCATACCATTCACAGCAAAAGAGAAGGAAATGGTCCCTTTTTTATCACACAGTGATTTACATAGCTTATAATATCCATTAGAGCTTATAAGCTCTTATAAATGAAAATCATAAAGAATCAAAACAATACAAACCAGTACTCACCTCAAATGCTATTTTACTCAAATTTGATATGTATAACCAACGCTCCTTATAAATAGGGCACGTTGAGAGATCATTGATGCACCACATACGACTAGTTAAATCTTTAATAGCCTTCACGAATATTTCCTTGTACTCTAAAAACAGACATTTACATGGAAATCCTGCAATAACGATCAGTTTTCATGAATAAATGTAACTTTCAACAACCTGCAGAGAATAAATCACTAATCGATTTCTTCTGTTTGGTCGTATTTGGGCTTCCAGTGAGGGCAGCAGTAACTTTTAAATACCACAACGCTCGAAAAGGCGGTATCCTTGAACTACTTACTTGAACAACTTGTTTAACAAATATAATTAATTTGAGCACCCACCTGTAATCGCACAGATACTCGAGACCATCTTCGCGGCGTTTGATGGTCGGGACCTTCTTCGCTAACTGAGAAAGTGCCTTCCCTCGAGCGAGGTCCGTAAACCACACGGCACGCTCCTTGGCCTTTGCAGACGCCTGGAGATAGGCTACTTATTTCTCGGCTCACAAATTCGGCAGATTCGTACAGAACTTAGTCGGGGCACGTCGTGCGCTGGGGATCACCAGCAATGAGGGTGGTATGTGGTCGCAGGAGGAAGGGGGTAGTATTGGCCTTTGAGGAAAAACGTTCCCGGTTGTTGACTTTTCTCGGGTTTCCCTCTGTCCGCCACTTCTCCCAACGCCAGTTTTCGGAAGGGGAGGGACTGGAGTTTTCAAATTCTTCGAAAATTCGTAGGAAACAGAGAATTTGGAATTAAGGAAGATGGCAGGTAAGATGGGTAAGGGGGTTATACTAGAGGAGAAGACTCCGAAGGAGGCCGCAATTTGAAAAAATTTTCCCCAACGACAGGACGTGCCCTGATCCCAATATTATAATGGTCCTAGAATAACCCTGCACTTACAAATTGCGCGCCTGCTGTCTCCCTGTTCTTTCTTCGTTCTTTGTCAAGATTAGCGTTGATTTCACCTTTTCGGTGGAGGACCTGAAAGTACGTACTGATATGTGAAGAACTAGAGAACGAGAAAAATGACTATCTATTTAGTAATGCCTCGAAAGGACGCCACAGAGAAGTAAATGTAAACAAGTAAAACAACAGGAATCGTCACAAAAGACGACGTTAAAGGGTCATGCAAAAAAATGCTTATAAATAGCATGGAATAGTATAATTCCACTCACGAAATTGAGCAAGGCAGTCGATTTGGCGTGGGCTTCATCAAGGCGGTCAAGCTTTGCTGAACGACTGTTGAACACCAACGACTCGTGTTCAAATGGCGTCGCTCCCACCTGAATGCGGACCATCAGAATAAATTTAGGTGTTAATCCAATATAGTGGGCAATTTTGTCAAGTACTGCAGATGCAACGGGCTATTTGTAAAGTCTTGTGAGTGCTGCTAGGCAAAAAAAACCTCAACGAAATATAAAAACTCCTTTCTGTATAAGAGTTTTGCTCCCACATCCTCTGATTTCTCCTTCCACCCCCCTCCTAGGCTTCACCAAACATCCTCAATGCCCTAACTCACAATTTTTTTCTTTGCATTATCGATGAAATGTTAGGCGTCCGTCAAGGAAATCGAAGAGTTGGCGCGAAAATTGAACTTGATTGAGGAAGAGAACTTTATGGGACCTCAAAGGACCGCGCTGAAGTAAAACAGTATATTCACAGCACTACTTATAACGACCCGTTATGTTGAATAAGCACCGAATACATCTACCACTTTGATCGAAAAGTCCTCTACGCTGTGAACAGACCGCTAAAAGTTAAACCACCTTCTAAGCGCTTTGGAGTCTGATTACTGTAGAAACATCTTGATTGTTTTGAACAGCCGGGTTTAGAGAGTTGGGGATTTTATTACAGAGAAGGTGAGTGATTCAGGCATCAGTGTTTCCGAGATTTCCTTCATCATTTCGCAGGACTTCCAGGAGGTTTCAACTCCCTATTGTTTAGATGATGGGTAAGATGTGATCCAAGGTCTCCTCTGTAAGGCTAAGGCAGCGTTCAGACTTCGCGACGATGCGCTGTGCCGTGCTTCTATTGCAAGAGCGCTCCAAGGCTATACACGCAAACGCAGTCGCACACGGGAATCGATCAGCGCCACCCGCCAATGTATTGAGAATAAGGCTGTGGCGGCAACGTTGCTCCAATCATAGAGTGTGGGTAACGATCGGCCACTGCGGTTCCCTAGATGGCGCACACAGATCGATTTCCTGCTCCGCGGTTTTCGTTTTCGCCATTTTTATTACCCTGTGCAGGCTGCTTTAAAGTATAGAGCGTCGACGCGCGAAAACTCGATGCCTGAACGCTGCCTAAATACAAGATATTCGATCCGATAAATCAAATTGATTTCAAACCTATCAGGCTTCGAAGGAAAATAGCTCTCGAAACGACAGCCAGTCAACATACGTTAACCTATCGAGTGCAGTTAAAGAAAGACAACTTTACAGCAGCACTTTCCGATCTACCTAAGCAGCATCCAAAAATTACGTAGTATTTTACCTGATAGCCTTCCGGCAATCTCTCACCTTGCTAGGTTGGCTTCTTCTTGTTCGACTGCCTCTTGTGGAGTGACATCGGGCGCGGTCCAATCTTATGCCTACGTAGTATCCGTTTATCCGCCGTTGACTGATACCACGATAGTACTTTTGATGTTTTCGCTGACATTAAATGAATAGCTGTATCCGCATGACTGTAAGTAATGAAATAAGTATTTTGACCTTCATATATTAGAGAGGCTAATTTCGGACTCACGGCACGATTTCTGAGTGTGAATACGTTATAAGTATGCAGAAGATAACAAGGGCGAGAACGGTAGACTGGCAAGAAGCCAAGAGAAAATGGACAATTTAGCGCGAGATCTCGGGCATATTTGCCCCGAGTTTCCTGTGAACTTTGTAAGGATACAAAATTGTACTAAATACATGTACTGCTGCATAGAATAGAGCAAACGTAATGCAGACCCAGAGATCGCCAAATTACAGCAACTACTTCCTACGAAATAATGATTAAGCCGTCAAATGAACCAGAAATCATTGAAGCTCAGAAATATATTGGCATTTCGACATGAAGAACAGATGCAGGACGCACACTAAGTCACGATGACCACCATGATTGCAGGCATCGATATAGCCGCTAATATTCCTTCATCATCTTTACATTTTCAAATAAAGTTCAAATTAAAAGTGATAAAAAACCCATGCCGACCACTGCGCTCAAAAACTCGTCGCGTTGCGGATTTCGATTGGAGCGCGTTACTGTCTGTCAACCGCCGTTAGTTATTCTTTTCTGGAAATATTTTTTACAGTGACGAATTCCGGAATTGTATCCTCTCACGCTGACTAATGCCTCAAAAACTATCCTCCAATCAACTGCGGAACCGCATTATCACTAGAAGCCCTAGAAGCCATATCACAGTTGAGTACGGACCACCCACAATCCGCCGTCAAATAGATGCCAATGTGTGTAGTTTACACAGTTACGCCTTGTTATTTCTTCCACCTCTAGCAGATTAATTGCGTCGATCAAGGTATATAAACATGTGTTCTGTGTATTCTGTTTCACTTCTTTCTTTTCCTGAATAAAATTGCAACGTCATCTCTACAAAGCAAACCAGGAAATGGTGAACGCGAAATTTATGTTTTTGGTCCTCCACAGAACGCTACCGTATCCTCGCCTTTTGCCGTTGATGGCATTCCCAAAATTTTAAATCTTGTAGTAAGAACATTACAGTGATATGTATATCTTTCTTGAGAATTTGAGCGGATTCTTGTTCAATTTTCGACACCGCTCGTGAATGTTTGATGTTGTCTTGGACACAAATGTGACCAATTCATTGTTTTGGCGTTAGTTTGTAGTTAGCACTGTTTTGTAAAGTTAACCTGCTTTTTAATAATAAGGCCGTTGGAGCTGCTGTGTAAGACTTTGGCCAGTAGTGTTCAGCCAGGTCCACAATGAGGACTCACCTTGTCGAGAAGCTGTCGTCTTAATTTATTCTGATTTATTACGTGAATAAAACGTCATGTAAAAGTAGAAAATACAACGAAAGGAAGCCTAGAAGAGCATAACATCATGGAACATTTGTTCGTCCTCAAGCCATGCCACTAATATGTATAGGTTGTAACTATTGCTATAGATTCAAAACATTTACAATTTTTTGGCGTAGTTGAATATTTTTCCTTTGATTGTACCAGAAGAGCATACCGTAGAGGCTTTTTTTTCCTCAATTCGGCCCTCTAAGTCCAAATTCGTAGCAATTATTTCCCAATAAAAACAGATTAGCAACATTTAATGTGTAGGCTAGGCGCCTTGAACTCTGAGCTTGTTGTCATAGGAACATCTCGCGCAAAGTCATTTGTATTAAATAAGGTCGACAAATTTAGGATTGACATCGCTTATTGCATCAACCCGATAGTTATGTTGTCATAATCTCATAAAAAATGGAGTCAATGTTCTCGCAGAAAGGACCTAATACATGTTCATATAGTGCACTCTTTCATTCTCAGGATATCTGCGAACCAGGATGTCCCTTGTCCTTACTTCAGTCTTCCTTCTTTTCCTCAATTCCTTATTACTTTGTTCTTTCTTCTCCTCTTCCCTTTCGTGGCTCCACTAGACGATGCGGCAAGACAATGCTTTCGGACTCGCGTAGCCAAAGTTTCGGCGTTTCTCGCAGTGACGGGTTTAAGGCTGTGTTTATACTTTGATTCGCTGTTTTGAGTGTGCAGCAGTGCTTCGAGCATACACCAGCGTCTTGAGTGTTTCGAGCGACCAGGTAAGTTTGGATATCGATCGTAGCGTGCGGCAGCGTTTTGGACTACTAGGAAAACTTGGATATCGATCGGTATAGAGTATGGCACCGTTTTGAGCTTCTAGGGAAGTATGGGTATCGATCTAGCATTTTGAGCGTACGGCAGCGTTTTCAGCGAATGCCCGCGAAGCGCTCAGAACGCCGACGCAAAGTATGAGCGTAACCAGGCGAACAATCCTCATCGAGTCCTTGTCCAACATTTCTGCAGACTCTGCATTTCTCTCATTCCCATGGTTCTTCAGATCGACACTCATACTTTTTCTGTCCGGAGTTTCATCATTTCTCAGAGCCTCGTGTTCAAATGCAACCTGTCCACTCATAGCGAAGTGTGATCTTGCCCGTGTTTCAAGGGTAATTTCCTGTCCTTTTCCTCTAATTTTCTCCTTCTTCTGGTCCATTATCTCGCTTGTATGTGCCAAACGATACCTGTTGCTTCCATTTTCTACGAACAACCGAATCATTTTAGTGAGGTTGAATCTCGAATTTTTTTTTCCAGGCTTTGTTCACGGAGAGTAACGGTTTGTGAATTGCGAAGTTGGGAACAGGGGTCGAACATTGCTGTGCACAACACAGGGAGGTCCGGCCGCTGCGGAGGGGGTGGGGGGAGTATGTGCCGTTCGAGAGAAATTTGCCGCGTTGGGAGAAAGTTTTTTCGCGGTTGTTGACTTTTCGCGGTTTTTCCGCTTCACATTTGCTTCACACCCCCTCCTCTCCCGTCTCCCGAACCCGCTTGACGGAACTTTTGGAGAGGAAGTAGTAAATGTTCGGGAAATTTCGGAAAAAAAAAACGCAGGAAGCTGGGAACATGTAGGTGTTGGGGGAAGGGGGATGGTACCGAGACTCTCTTCCAAGGGGAGGGGGGGGGGTTACTGACACCACCATCTCACACATCACGATGCTGTACCCTGGTTGGGAAAGCGAAAGTCTGAGTCGAGTCGATTTCCTCTTTTCTACTCTAGCGGAGTTCAGGAATTCACAAAACCAACTCATATCTAGTCTTTTCCGTCGTCGATACGTATTCATTCTCTCTGCGGATTCTTCAGTTCCTTAACGTCGATTTCTGATAATTCTGATATTTGTGAATCGTTGAAGAGTGCATATCTATTACAGGTAATATGTCTGCTGAACTTACCTGGCAAATCATCCGGAAAAACAGCTGTTTCCTTCGCCGACAAAAAGGGATCAAGAAGCATTTTTCTGTTGAACCATTCAATCTACGAGGCATCAATAGCCCCCGATTCAATGGATTCATCAGCAAGAAAGCGATGAATATCGCTCCTGCAAAAGATGGCAAAGGTGTTGTCGTCTCCGTGAAAATTCCAGGTGACATCCTTTTTTATCCTTACTGCATGGTACAATTCAACGTAGAGGTTCCATTTGGTCCCAAATGTTGTACAGGGAATTTCCTTTTGGGAGCAGGCATTTTAGTGCACTGAGAACAATTACTTCTTCATGCTGAACGGTCTGATTAGGTGTTCCTTCCCCTAAGCATGACGTAAAAGTAGTTGACACG